CCCCACGGAGTCCCAAAGGCGCTCCTCAACACTCAGCTTTTCCGCGGCTCCCAGTCCCCCCCTCCCCCTGCTTCCACCCCTTCCCAGCCCTCCGACGGCTTCCCCCGCTCTCTGGGGCGGATAATTGCCCTCCGCTCGCCTGTTCTCCCTTGTTTAAAGTTTGTTTTCTAAATGTCTTCTATTAGATTATGCTCGTTCATTCCCCCTCCAACCTTATCTCCTTCTGTCTCTTCTCTCCTTGCCCGTCACACTCGATTTAGGCACGAGTTTATCTGGCAAACAGTTTGCAGACTTTGTTTATTTACCGCGGGTTCTGGGGCTGCGAGCGCGCGAGCGCCAGTGTTTGCCTTTGTAATAGTTATCTCCTCATTGTTGTTCCTCGTTAGTCTCCGCTCCCGCCTCCCTCTCTCTTTTCTTCGCTTGGGAGGATGGAGGGAAGAAGAGGGGAGCCTTGTCAGCCCAGTGTGGGCTCGGCCCCTCGCCGGGAGCCCCCTCCTCCAGGAGGTTCCCGGCTCCGCAAGCCCCTCTCCGCTCGCCCCATCCCCCTCCAGCCGCCGGCCGGGTGAGCCCCTCCCGCGCCCCCTCCCTCTCTCCCCCTGGTCGCACTGGATATCCTCCGCCTAGCGCTGCCTAAAGCCGGGAATTGCCTGACACCCTCCCATCTTCCTCCGAGCCCCCATTATGCGAAGCTGATCCCACTCTGAACAGCTTCAAATCCCGCCTGGACTCTGTTTGATTAGATTGCCAACCCGGGGTAATCCTTTGATTTGGTGGAGTGTCAATTACCTTTCTCTAAACACACATTTACAGAGGAGGGAACTTGTTGGTTTAAATCAATGCAGATTGTTTCGTGATAAATGGACTATCTTCGTCCCCTCCCTCGCCCCCTTTTCCGAGGCTCCTGTCCCTCTCCGCCCCCGCCCCTTCTCCGTTCTCGAAGATCCCATAAACAATGTCCCTTCCAGGTGTGAAGCCGAAAAAATGGTGTGGGCTGAGGGGAGCCATGCCCCCCTTCCCCTATTCACTCGCTCCCCCGGAGCCTAATTAAATTTGGCAGGTCCTTGTACACACAATCAAAACAGCTTCCTCCAGTGTAGCAAACGACCGAAAACCGCATTAGCAGCTATCGCCGCTGCCAAATTAAATTGTTTCCCACCTCCTTTTACAAGTGTCTAAAACCGACACTCCGGGCTTCTCCCCTCCTTTCCGATCCTTCCCCGTCATTTCCCACTCCACACCTGCCTTAAAAAGTTCCCTGCCTTAAAAATAAAGGAAAAATGCAAAGAGAAACACATCTGCCTCCCACACCCTCCTCGCCAACCCTCTCCCCAGCTCAGACCATCTTTCACACCCAGGAAGTCTGCGAATTCTCCAGCTGGACTTCAACACCTCTAGGATTCCCCCCCACCCACCCAGAGAAAGAGGCTGCTTCCACTACTACTACTTCTTTTTTTTTCTGATTTTGTAACTTTCCCCTGTATTTCATATTAATTGTAACCTCCTTGGTCTTTCTATCTTCGAGACCAAAGTGGAGCTCCTGGTCCCGTTGGTCAGCTTTGGCTTAAACTGGTGCACTGTCAGATGCGTGGGGCTTTTGTGTTATTATTGTCACTGCTATTATTGTTGTTTCTATTATTGCTTATTTCCTGATACTCCCTCAGCTCCCACTGAGGAATGGTTTGACCCATTGCAAACCCCTATCCTATTCCCCACAAGAATCTCTCTGAGCTCAGATTCTGTGAAAATCTTTTCCTTTCTCTTCCCTCCTCAGATCCCTTCCCTGTTGGGTCCCTGGTCTGTCTCTCCCCTGATCCTTGGAGAAAGGGGTGAAGAGGAGAGAGTCTACATGCATGGAGGCAAGGAACTGTCCACTTCCCTCTGCAGGTGAGCTGAGCTTGGCTGGAGCAGGCACCTATCGGTAGCGGTCTGAGAATGCTCATAACCAACAATCCTAATAAGTCAGTCTTAACAAGGATAAGAGAAAAAAAAAAAAAAAAAAAAAAACGAACAGCCTCATGAATATCAGCCCAAGGGGAGCAGGAGTGAGCTGTTCAGAGATGAAAGTGCACAGAAATAAAAGCTCAATTTAATCTGCTTTAAAACCCTTCAACTTAACGTTTGTGCTTCAAACTCTGAGAGTGAGAACTGATTGCGGATAAATAGTTTCTTACCATGCCTGGAAGCTATTACACCCCTCTCCAACACAGTTTTCTATTCAGCAGTCCCAGTTTTCATTACCAGCTCTAATAAGTCTTAACATTATTAAATGCCAAGCGGACGACAGGAAAAAACGGACTCAGGGAGGGATCTCTCTTTAGTGCTTAAAGAGGAGAGCTCTTAAACCCCTTCTTTGGTGGCTCCCTGCCATGAGAGGGGCAACTCCCCCAGAGAAAGCATTTTTTTTAAGAGCAAGAAGCCAAAACAAAGTTGTGGGTGTGCACAACTCCCCCTTCTCTGCCCATGGGGCATCTCTTCCTCTCCCTACCTGGAAGACTCGGATGGAGGTTGGAAGGTCTTGTCACCTTTAACTTGGCCGTGAAACTGATGTCTGGGGCCTGGGAGAGAGATGAGGAGTTCACAGGAGGGCCTGCTGACCTGCCCAGGAACTCAAATAGGAAACGGATACAATTTGCTCACAGATGGCTAGATAGCCCTCTCTCATCTGCACCATCATATTGTTCATTCACACTCATCTAAACGCCCCAGCATTCAGATCCAAAGGCCCGTGGGTGAACAGTCACACCAACAGATGCTTAAGCTTACACTGCCGTCCAGTGCACAATCACCGCACCCAGCGCACCCACCGCCACGCAAAGACTGCAGGACTTCCGGGACACCAGGCTCACTGCCTGAGATCATTTCATTTCTTCAGCTCCTCTAGACTCAGCACCTGTGAACTCAGCCTCCCCCATCTGGCACGGGTTTCTCTTTAAACCTTTGGAGACACGGTGCTTCCTGGTTCTGCTGCAGGGAAAACCTCTCTCCAGCGAAGTGGCTTGTTAGCTGGTGTGATGAGCAAAGGAATCCTCCAAACTGCACCATCTTTCCATCCTGTTCCTTCCCTTCCCTTCCCTTTTTTCTCAGAGGAAATTTACCTATTTGTGCTTCCTCACAAATTGAACTGGATACACTCCCTGTGTGCAAACACACCTAAAGTTTCTCCAAAGAAAACTAAAGTCGTCTCCTTCTCCCTGGGATAACTCTCAGAAGAGCTGTCTTTTGTGCAGCAGAGATTATTTGTTCAGGAAAGATTATTCAAGTTCTGTGTACCCCTCCCCCTTCGCAGCCCACAAAAAGTCCGTCTAGTCTCCTTCCAATAGGAACTGAAATAAGGGCTGGGTCCCTCAGCAGGTGTCCCAGGGCTCTGGGTAGACCCGCCAGGCCTCTGACCACTTGGCGGTGCCGGGCTGCCTCCCACTGCAGACCCGAGGCCCAGCAGCAGGCCCGGCACAGCGGGGCGCCGGGTACAGCTCGCTTGGTCCCTTTCTTCCTTCGCCCTTTTGTCCCGGGCGGGACAGCGGCAGCACTAGGGGCCCTGCGTGTCAATAGCCCGCCCCCCTTCCCTTCGCTCCGGGCCGCTCTCACAAGGGACCGCCCGGCCCCCGATCCATCCTCCTCGGGCCAGGCCTGTGGGGGCTGGGCGAAGATAGGAGTTGTCTTAGGCCGGCTTTGTCTGTGAAGTTCATCTTCAAGGTTGGGAGGGTCTTCTGAGAACTGGAGAGAGACCTGGGCTGGGAGTGCTTGGGACGCGAGGAGAGGGGTGCCGGGAGAAACCTCTGGAGGGAGGAGACTGGAACCACACAGGCTCTTGGTAAGCTTTCAGGTTCTGGAGCACTCGCCACTTTTTCCAAAGCCATGGATCTGCGGGGTCCCACGGCCACTGTCCTTCCGATTGCCTCAGCTTGCCCCCACCCCGCGCGAGTGTTTGGGGCCTTTTCTTTTAACTGTCAGTCTTTGTGACTCTGGGTCTTCCATTTCTATTTCTCTCCCGGTCGCCCCTTAACGTGCACTTACCAAGTCTCAAAGAGAACTAGGAGGAGAACTAAGAGGGCGATGAGGAACGGGAGAGGGTAGTGAGGAGGAACTTTCCCTTCCTTCTCTCGAAACTTCCTCGCGTCAAGAAACAAAAGCACAATCCTCTTCCCCGGGCTTGCGGGCGCTAGATAACTAAATGCCTTCCTTAGCTGATCCAGAGATAAAGCGTGGCGCTGGGCTCAGACTCCAGCCTGCCCGCGGAAGCCGCGCTAAGAATGGGGAGAGGGTTTGTGCAGCCTCAATCTCACCCCCAGTGGGATCCTCCGACCCTGGGCAGCTGGGAACTTGGCCTCCACTCCCGGCCCCGCCGGCGCACGCCAAAGTGAAGGCACCCTCTGTCCCCCAGTCCGCCCTGGCAACGCGGGGCTCAGAGTCAGGCGGCGGCTCTGGCTAATTTTTATTGATTGCAGCGGTCAGTCAACTGTCAGGCGGGGTTTCAAGGGACCGTTTAGAGAGCGTGTGCGGGTCTGGTTAACAAATTCATTTAGGGAGCCTCGGGCCGGCTCCTCCTTCCTCGATTCCCACCCCCCGCACCCCCTCCCCCTGCTTCCGTGCCCAAGTTTCCTATAAATAATTGATCAACGCCGGGAGTAGCAGCCAAAACACCAGCCCGGGAGGACACACTTCCCGCAGTACTAGGGTAGATCCGGCGCGCACGGCGGTGGCACGGTTCGCGGCGCACTGCGCCTGGCCCCGCAGCCGGGCTCTCCCGGGACGCACGAGCAGTCCGCGCCCCGTCTCTGTTGCGCAAAGAAGGCGCGGGCTCCGGATCCAGCCCGCATCCGGGTGCGCACCGAAGGGGCGCTGCCGGCAAAGCCTGAGCGGTTCCCGGCTGCCTCGCAGCCCTGAGAGTTCTCCCGCTGGAGTTCTAGTCTCCTGCGCCGGCGGCGCGAGCGAACCTCCGGCCCGCACACCTGAGTGTGGGAAAACCCGGGCTGGGGCTTCGCAGCTCCGGAATCCCCTACCTTTATCGCCCAAGATGCCGTCGATGCTGTGTTTGGCCTTCTTCTCGCCGTCGTCCTCCTTCTTCTCTGCTTCATCCTCCTCCTCTTTCTTCCCGAACTTGATTCTGAGCACGCGGCTAATCGAGCTCACTAAACCTCAGAAATTCAAAGGCAAAAGAGCGAGTATAAGTTGTTGGGGCAGAGGAGCGAGCGGTGGCCTGGGCCCCTGGGAGAAAGTCAGGAAGCCCCCTGCTTCCTTACAGATATCCATTCATCCCTCCTCCACACACAGGCAATCCATAACCGGCACTCACTTGGGGAAGCCGGGCTCACAGACGGGGCACTCACAGGGTGGTTAGACTGTGCATTCCTATGCAGATGCTTGCACGCAATTGTGCCTTACACTATCACCTGCCCTAGGTGCACTTCCACTCACACCCCTGAGAGATCCCAGCACCTCCCAGCCCCTGCTGCCACCAGACTCTCCAGCCCCTGCTGCCACCAGACTCTCCAGCCCCTGCTGCCACCCCCACACTTAGGTGTGCATCCTGGCCCTGCATGCCAGAATGCACACACACACGCACACACACACACCCCAAGTCACTTTCTCTCTCACAGGCAGTATGGTTTGGGATCTCCAAATTTGGGACCCAAATGGCTGGTTGTGGCGACAGACCAGAAATGATGACTCTGAACACCGGTTCAGGGAAGCCAGTGGGCATCCACTCTCTTAGGACAGACCCATCTATTAAAGCCACTTCTCCAGGAAAGCGCCAGGGGGGCTCTTATCATCCAACTTTCTAGGTTAACTTTTTGCCCATTCCTGCCTGCCCGCCTACCTTTCTTCCTCCTCCCTTTCACTCTTCCTTCTCTCCCCTCTTTCTTAACTTTTTTCTTTCCCTCTTCTTTTCTTTCCAGCTTATTACATTCTGTTTTGATTTACTCCTCTGTCTTAACTCTCTTTGCCTTTCTGATCTCCCTTCCTCCCAACTTCTCAGTAAGTTCCCTGTCAACCATCACCTCCCCTTCTCTCTCTCCCACCTCCAGCCCTCCACATCAGAACCCTAGCCACACTCCCGGCCAGGTCTGCTGGCTCAGCTGCCTTCTCACCTGAGGGCACAGTGCTTCGGTCACAGTGCCCGTCCTTCAGCAGCCGGTCCCGGATCTCCCAGCTGAACATGCCTGGGTTTTCCCTCTTGTACTCCTCGATCTTTTTCTCCACATCCGGAGTCGCCACCTGCTTCAGAGGTGGAGGTGGGAGAGTAGGAGTGGAAATATGGGGTGGGGGGGGGAGGGAAATACTTTTAATATCACCTCTTAAGAGCCCCAAACCAGGCTGGTAGTTCTGGTTACCAAGTGTCCCCCTACCCTCCGAGAGATTGGCTTTATCCTTTCAAGAAACCAGTTCCTGGCTCCCAGGAAGGCAGCTGGGAGCCTGGCAGGGTGGCAGGGGGTGGGGGTAAGACAGGGATAGGCAATAAGTAACTCTAATTAGGACCCCCAGGGTCCCCCTCATTATCTCAGGGAAGTCTGAGAGAAGATGTTTTCTGGTCTTGTTAGGTGATGGGGATTGGACAAGGATTGAGGCAAATGTGCAAACGTGGGGACAGCCCAGGAATGGCTCATTGGCCTCAATGTCTAGGACAACCTAGACCTCACTTAGCCCCATCCCTGAGAAATTCAAATCATAGGAAAACAATGGGAGGCTATCTGGGAGTAGGAGACACCCTCCCGTTATACTTTCCTACAACCTAGTGCCACGGTGACACAAGGTAGTAAGAGAGGCCACAATCAGGATCCCCCGACCATGGGAGGCCAGCTGCCAGCCTCTGTGGCAAAGACACTCACTCTGGGCTTGCTGCCGCCGATGGCCCCAGGCCGGATGGACCCGGTCTCCTGGTAGCGGCAGAGAATCTTGGAGACGCAGCCGTGGGAGACACGCAGCTGGCGGGAGATGACGCAGGGCCGGATGCCATGGTGGGCCATCTCCACGATCTTGTGGCGGATGTGGTTGGGCAGCGGCCGCCCGTTGATGAAGACCCCTCCCAGCTGATTGACCCGACCTTGGCCAAGCGGGGTGGACACTGGAGAAGGGAGAAGAGATGCAGGAGAGAGGCCCAGGGTGAGGATGGAGGGCAGACACTGAGTGCACTCCCCGACTCCAGTTTTGTCCATTTGAGCCCCAAGGCCCCAGACAGCGATCCTGGTGGTCCTCATGCTGGGGCTTCGGTAGGTAGTTGGAGAAATAACTGCCATAAATCTAGGAAATCTGCAGAGATAGATAGAGGAGTCACGGCTGCAAGGGTCTGCCCAGATGCTGTGTCCTCCAACTCCTGCCACACTATGAGGGGTGAGGACACAGCTGGGGGATTTGAATGCTGCTAAGAAACAGAGGGAGACAGGTGAGACAGCAGAGCTACAAGGCTGGCAGCGCCTTAGAGATCTTGGGACCAATGACCCTCTGTCCCTCAGGCTGAAGCTTGGGCTGCAGGCCTGCCTGCGTCTCGGAGAGGCCAATACCTGGAGTGATGGTGGCTCATCTGGTCAGTTCCACACTGCTGATAGTCACGAATGATCCCATTTTGTTGAGGGCTGGAAAGGGCTGTTTGATTACTACATTTACAGCTCTGGCTGGAGCAGTGGAACTGCCCCAGGAAATAGCTGAGACAGCCGAGGGACTGGTGACATATGCTGTTGGCTGCTGCCTCTGAGGGTACCTGGCTGTCCCTTGGGCGACTCCCTTTGCTTCTAACCACCCTCGAAGTCCTAATTTCGTTTTGGGACAATTTTAGCACCCACTCCACTGCCTCAAAGCTCCTAAATAAAGTAGTTCAATTGGCCACATAACTCCATACACCGTCCCTGCAGGCTCCGTGAGGCTGGTAGGCGGATGGGCCACAGTCTCCAGGTGGGGGTGACTTAGGGAACCGGGAAGACAGATCTCCCTGGTGTGAGCTGGGGAGGGGAGAACGCCCTGCTCGCCTTAATGCAAAGTCTACACAATTTCCTCACAGAAGGTTGGGGAGACACCCAGCACACTAATCCGGCCTCGATCCCCCCAATTTGGGGACTCAGCGGCTGCGGAGATCTGGAAGATTAGAACGATTTCACAGCCGCAGGAGTGGAGGGAGCCGACTTGTAATTGAAAGGGAGGAGGCGAGAAGAGGCTCCGCTGCTGGGCCGTTCCTACCGCCCCCTCCCTCGCTCTCCCGGTCCCCCCACCTCTCTTTGTAAAAGTAGGTGTCTGAAGCCACCCTCGGATTTAATCAGAAATCGTGCGTCGCAAAGTCAGAGTCACTCGGTCTCCGTGGCGGGATATGCCATTAGCGCTCAAGAGCTCTTGAGCGCCCAACTTTATATTCAAGAGCCTCTTTAGCGACCGGCATTCGGCTCTCCTCAGTATTCTGCGTCATGTTGGGCAAATATTGTTCTAATCCGCCGCGCGTCCTCAGCCGCCTGTTTTACTTGCATTCGCTACAGGAGAGTGGCCCTGCAAATCCCTGGGTTTGCGCGCTCTCCCGCCTGCGTGGCTGCCTGCGCGCACTTGATCACGGAGCGGCTCTCTTTGCCTCTGTCTAATTCAGGGACCCGGCGCCGTCTCGGTGCCCAGGGGAGCTCCTCCCGGATCGCAGGCTGCCAGCCTGCCCACCCCCTCCCTGCCTTCTCTCCCCTTCCTCACGCGCCAGGGACTCTAACGATTACAAGAAGAGTAATTAAAAAAAAGAAGTCGCACATATTTTCTAACGACTCCTCTGTGACACCCTAGGCTACCTACCCCCAGAAGCCAAATGATCAGTGACACGTTGAGGCCTTCCATTAGTTTAAAAAGAAAACAGAACAAAAACACAGGAGCGGGTCTCTGCCGTGCGCTCCCAGCCTTTTCTCCAGCTGGGCACCCGGTTCGCCGCAGCCCTTCCTCTCCGCTCTCCCCGGGCAGGCGCTGGAGGTTTTGGAAGGACGCGTTAAAAAATCGACTCCTTCCCCTCGTTTGGACATCGCCGTGCACCTCTCGCAGTTTAGAGGTTCTCTAAACCTCGCCATTTGGAAGTTCTCTCCGGGGAAATTTCCAGAGCGCGCAAGCCCAAGGAAAAAGTTTTAGGGGGAAAATCGTTACTAATTATTATTTCCAATTAGTTTGCTTCCAGAAGGAAAAGCAGGAGTGATTGAATGTGGCTTTGGCAGAAAGGGGTAGCCTTGGTAGTTGAGGTACATAAAGTATCACCCATGGTAGGTGGTTCTAAATAAAAGGTACTGGAAGACCAATTCCGAGAGTGGAAAAAATAGTTCAAAACAAGAGTAGAGAGCCGGCAGCCAGCGAGCCCGGAGAGCAGAGAAACTGTCAGGGAAGAAGTGCGTGGAAATAGTGGAAAGAGCTGAAATTCGCCAGGACCTGAAATTTACTAGGAGTCCAAATCTACCAGAAGTTCGGCCCTGCTGGGAAAGGCCGGCAGCTCGCGACCTGGGAAGCGGAGGCCGCCGGTCAGTGAAACCCACGCAGAAGCGGACAAGAACGAGTCCCAGAAACTTCCTGGGTTCCGCGCCCGGACTGGGACCCAGAAGAGAACGGGATTCCTCTGCTACCGCCGGCGCCGCCACCATCCTCTGGAGACCGCAGCCTCTCCAAGGACCCCGAGTTTCGGGCGGCGGAGTCTCAGCGAGGGCAGCCTGGGCGCTCTTACCTTCCAAAGGGAATCCCGTGCGAGGGGTAGTTCTGCCCCGGAGCTGGCCGCATCATTCTCGGTACGGTGCCGGGAAGGGCCGCCATTCTTGCGCACGCCGGGGACGAATCCAAAGTCGGCAAAAATCGCTTCCCGTCCGCTCCCTTCACCCCTGCTGCGATCTCTTTCTTTCCGTCTTCTTCGTCTTCTTTTTTTTTTTAACCTCTTCTCCCTCCCCTCTGCATACACTCCCTACCCCCACCCCCCACCCCTGGCTGCAGTCAAACGCGTCCAGAAGCTGGGGAGGGGGGTGAGGTGGGGGGCGGAGGTTGGGGGGAGGGAAGGTGGCGACGACAAGGAAGTTCAAACAAACAAACACTCCAGCCCCAAGTCCGCCTCTGCCGGCTGGGCTCTACCAGAAGTTGTGCGGGCTGAAGGGCCCGGCAAAACCAGGAGACGAAGCCGGGCAGCGGAGGGGGGCCGGGGGGACGCGGCCGGAATCGGGGCCACCAGCCTCGGAGTGCCGAGCGCCGCGCTCTCGCGCTCGGGGCCAAAGTTTCCGAGCCGGGAGGCTGCGGAGTGGATTTCGTTCTCGTATTTATTTATATATTTATTCTCTCGCTCTCACTCCCTCCCTCTTCTCCACGCCTTCTTTCTCCGGACCACACTGGCTTCTCCCTGCGCACCAGCTTTCACACTCCCGCCCCCTAGGAGACCCGGGGAAGGACGGGAGAAGGAGCCTTCTCGGGTTTCGGGGCTGGAGGGTGCGACCTGGGGTGACGGGGTTGGGGGAAGAGAAATGGAAAAGCGAGGGGGCGCGAGTGATCAGCTGGGTAAGTTGTGCAAAAGTGTTCACCGAAGTACGAGGAACGGGGGGGGGGGGGGTGGGAGGAGGAGGAGGAGGAGGAGGAGGAGGCGGCGGCAGTGAACGCGATCTGATAGGTTCGGACTTTTCTTTTATTCATGAGGAAGGAAGGGGGCCAGGGCGCAAGGGAGCAGGGGACCAATAACGAAAAGAAATCGCCAACGAATATTTTTTCCCCTCGTTTCTAATCCCCGGCTCGACCTCGTTTTGGGGGAGAATTTGAACCGCCGTGAAAACAGAGGGAGGCGATCCCGGCGAGCTGGGGCCTGGGGGAGAAGGGGAGGGGGCCAACTTTGTCCCAGTGCCTTCCTTTGATGAATGGGCCGGATCCGCCGAGTCCCTGGCCTCCAGGTCGCCCACGGCCGCTCTCGGCGTCCCGGCTCTATGGGAATGTCTGCCTCCGGCCCGGAGCCTCCCAGGAGTCTCGCCTTTTCTCTGGCCTCCCAGGGGCAGAGTCCGCTGTATTTCTTGTTCTCTCCCTCGTCTTACACCCTCTGAAATTACTCCAGTGAGGCTCCCCGGGAACCGGCCTGGGGTGACTTGAAGGGGGGAATTCTGACTTTTTCTGTGTGACAATGTCAGAGCCCCAGTGTCCGGTTCTCACTCTCCCTCCCCGCCGCTCTGAGAAGCCCTCAGTAACCGTATCTGGTTCCGAGGCTTGGAAAAGTGGGTTTGCCAAATGTTGGGGACCGGTCTCTTTCCCCCGCTCCAGCCCCACCCCGTGCAGACACCTCCAGCCGCCTCCGCTCTTCTCCTCCGTCCCCCAGACCGGGCCCAGAACTCCTTTCCAGCAGATAGTTGGGTTTACAGGGACGTGGTGCTGGTGTGAGGACCTGGAGGTCCAAAAAGGTGGGAGATGGGAGGGAGGGAGCCGGTCAAGACTTCTGAGCTCATCAACTCCGAGCTCCTTTCTGGTAGGTTTGGGGGGACATCCTAATTAAATGATCGGGAATTGGGGTGGGGTGATCAGAGGTTTCAGAATTCTTTGCTCTCTGAAGCCAGGGTGACCAGTAGCCTCCACCACCGGACACTGAGTCCTGGGGGCGAAACGCCCTCCCAGCGGGGCGGGACGCCACAACTGCAGGCCCTTTGTCTCCCGGGGGAAAGAGTGTCTCTGGCCCCACGCTGGAAGCAAAATACAATAAAATAAACCCAGCCCTCAAACTTGCCCCCTGCCCGCCCTCTCTGGGCAGGGCAGTGGGATCAGCCTTGTCTTAGCCTGGGGGGCTCGCCGCTGGCTGGCCCCAGGGTGTCCCCATCCCTCCCCTTCGCCTCACCTGTGACCTTTGCCCCTCTCAGCCCGTGACCGATCTCCCTCCTCTCCCCACTGTCCTAACACAAGGGGCTCATCAGATTTTTGGGGGCACTTCTGGGAATGGGGGCCCTGCTGAAAAACTTGTTAAACTCACACTATCTCTGATTGAGAAGGGGAGATACCAAGTAGCTTTAGAATTGGAAGGGGGACACCAGGGTGGTTTGCCTGGCCCAAATTATGGGGCCCTTCCCCAGGACAGATTGGGAGATCAAGCTTTAAGCCATAGCATGTGTGCCCAGGGAAGATGGCAACCCCCTTACATCGCCAGCCTTGCTGGGGACCTGGCCTGCTTTGACCTCCATAGGTGGGTATATATTCTTTATATGTGTGTGTGTGTGTGTGTGTGTGTGTGTGTGTATTTGTATGATATGCTCGTATGCACACACACGTAACTCACGTGCATATAGATTCGGTTTATTGCATATTCATCCATTCATTCATCGCTAGTTGTCCTCTTTGCCTGGAAGATTTCCAGGCACTTTTTCCATGTGTTTGTGAAATAGGCCAGGGTGCTTGTGTGTGAGGATAGGCCTGTGCCTGGGTGTGTGTGTTAAGATGCAGGTGGGTTTTGTGTGTAGGTCTGTTTGGAGTAAGTCTGTGTTTCTAAGTGAGGGTCCATGTCTGTGTTTCTGCTTTGAGGTCACCTCCATGCTGCCTTGGTATGGCTCTAAGCATGGGTCAGGAATGTGTGAGTGTGTGTTTAGGTCAATTCCGGAGTGAGAAAAGACCTCCTGGGCGTGCCTAGGGTGGGAGGCTCTGTCTCTCCTGGCTGGTGCTATCAAAGCATTTTGAGGCAAGTGGGGAGTGAACAGCTGGACACCTCTGCAGCCAGGGACCCTCAGAGCCTCAGGAGTCCTGCACTGGGGCCACCTCGTCCACAGTGTGGTCCCTCACCCTCCCCGCAAAAGACTCACAGGCGGGTCCAACTGTGACGCCCCCAGCATTTCTGCAGCTGGGGATTCCGTGGGCCCCTGCAGGGGGAAGGGTTGTGTGTGTGTGGGGGGGGTTGTCTACTGGAATGAGCCGGGCCGTTCTTGCCTGTTGGAGACCAATTTCACAAATGATTTTTGCAACAATTAAGGAGTGTGGCAGGGTGAAATGGCGATTTCACATCCAACAGGGGAAAGGAGGGTTCACCTGGGCACTGTGGCTGGGGGTTGGGGAGAGCAGCTTCCCCTCCTCTTGTTTCCCTTTGCGTACCCCCTAAAAAAAGTCACTCCCATGCAGACTTCATCAAGTCCCAAGACCTTCAGTTGCTGCTGGGAGGCTGTGAGGGGCTTCTGATTGTATGAGCTGGGCTGGACTCGTTCCAGAAAGTTTCCCTTTAGCCCTTGATCCCTCTTTCTGTCCCTCTCTGTCCTCACCCTCGTTCACCTCTTTCTCTCTCTTTCTCTCTCACTCACACTTTTCCCGTCTGCCCCTCCGTCCCCCTCAGTCTATCTTGTGGCCTCCTCCATCTGTTTTGTTCTTTCGGTCTTTCCCTTTTCCTCCTTGCCTTTCTGGCTTCACCCCAGCGGCTTTTCTCTGGGACCGTCTGTCTTGTCACCACCCCCCACATCTCCATGGTTTCCTGAGGTATGTATGGGCCTCCACTGCTCTCTCGGCTGTAACTCAGACCTGAATCCCTGGGAAGATCCTCTGGTCCAGATGAGGTTGGCTAAAGACCTTGCAGAAGGGAGCCTCCTTCTCTGCTTGGTCTGGGGGTGCAACTCTGGGCCCAGCCCAGCCCCCTAATACCCCAGGAATCATTTCCATCCCAGTGGGGTCTGGCTCGGATGATTGTCTCCACCTCCAGCTCACCCGTCTGGTCTGAAATCTCTGCATTTCTGCTTTTCCTCTTTCTTAAGGGCAGCCAAGATGCTAATAGGAATTCTTCTTCCCGAATTCCCAAGTGGCATCTTCCAAATCCAACCAAAATGGAATGGGAATAAGCAGGCCCAAGATACAGAAGCAAGACCCCAGGTTGAGTGCCGCTGGGGAAACTTGGTCTGTCTCTGGCTGCTCCCTCCCAAGACAGACCACGAAGGGGCTCCCTCCTCCCTGCACCCAAGTGGCCGACAGCCTCTTCCCCCGGCCCAAGGGAGAGGATGCTCTTTATTTCAGATCCTTGTGTCACGAACACTTTTTGAAAGCAATTACTCAATAAATATTCCTTTAAAGGGTGATAAATCCACTTTGAAAACCGGGGGTTTTGATTTCATTGGGGGCCTTTTGCATTTTCAGAAGCTCTGGCCTGCTCAGCACTGCTGGAAGAGGCCAAAGACATCAACAAATGGAATTATTCAGTCTTCAAATGTTCGATAACGAGAGAGGAGGGGGTGGGCGTGGGGGTGGGGAGCGAAACTGAACATCCAGGAACAAAGGACTCTGGAGGCTCCTTCCAGGTTTCGGAGGCTGGAATTCATCAGCGCTCCATTTCCAAGAGGCAACCTTGAAAAAGAGCACCTTCTTTCTACTCCCTCAACCTTTTCTTATTATTCTTTTCTTTTAAGAAGTGGCACTCTTCCGGGGTGACCTTGAAATAATCTGCCCAAACCTGAACAGTAACCAGGAAAGGAAACCGAGCTGTTTTCCTGTTTTCATTTTCCCCAGAAAAATAGAATAGCGCGCACTGGATTCCAGCTCTCATGAACTGGACAAGAACGACATTGGGAAAGACACAACGACAGTGATACTAAGCAGACTTCTCCCAGGCCTCCTGCTACGTGGGCCCCTCGCTCCCTTCTTTTTCCTCCTTCCTCCCCTCCTCTTCCTTTGTCCCTGCTCTTCCTCATCCTTCCCTTCCTCTTCTATTTTCTCTTTCTTCTCTCCTTTCTATTCTTCCTCCTTCGTCTCCTCCTCCTCTTTTTTTTTTTTTTTTTTTGAGATGGTTGTCCAATCTGGAGTGGCACAATCTCGGCTCACTGCAGCCTCCACCTTCTGAGTTT